TCTCTTGGGAGAGTCAGATAATAAATACCTGAATAAGTAAATAAACCACTCCAAAGAGAATAAAACAGATCAGAGAAATTTTCTTGGCTGATGTGATATTTATGCCAGCCATGTAAAACATTTGAGGGCAGTATCTTCTTTTAGGGACAAAGAGCAAGGAGCAAACCTAAGAGTGTTCAAGGCCTATCAACATAGGCCAGCATGCTATGGCTCCATGGACAGGATATCCATGGTGTAGGCTCGTGCTACGGTTTTAATGTGTCCCCCACAGTTTATGTGTTGGAAGCTTAATTCCCAATGGAACAGCATTGACAGGTGAGACCTTTAAAAGGTGAGTAGATCACCTGTGGATTAATTGCCATCATCACAGGAATGGCTCAGTTATTGCGTAAGTGAGTTAGTTATCAGGAGAGTGAACGTGTTATAAAAGTGAGTGGCCTCTTCTTTCTCTTTCGCTTTCTTGTGCTCTCTGCCCTTCTGCCTTCACCATGGGATGATGCAGCAAGAAGGCCCTCATCAGATGCAGGCACTTCGACCTTGGACCTTCTAGCCTCCAGAACTATGAGAAATAAATTTATTTTCTTTATAAACTACCCAGTCTGTGGTATTCTGTTATAGCAAAGCAAACTAAGGCAGATGGGATCCAAGAGGGGCCATTCCATGGAGGGCCTGTGGGTTCTGGTAAAAAATCTGGATTGTAATCCAGTTGCCATAGTAAGCCAGTAGAGAGCTTTTCAATGAGTTGCAATATGATGTACACAAATTATAATATACGTGTAATGTGATGCTATTCATCCAAAGTGTATAACCTAAGAGCTGTGATTATTGAAATTATTGAAACTAGATAATTACTTATTTTTGATAGGGAATTAAGGATAATTTCATGGAGAAGTTTGTCTTTGAGCTGAGTCTTGATGTATGCGTAAAATTTCCTATGCTGAGAGAATGGTGTGAACAAAGCTCTTGGGCAAGAAATCTTAAGATGTTGACAACTGCCTGACAGATGCATTTGCTTCTCAAGAAGAGAAACTACTTTAGCACAAAGAAATGACTAAAATGTGAAATTGTGGGCACCAGCAGTAGGCTGAAATGTTTGGGTGACCAGAGGTTGAGTGGAATGAGAGTGCTGGACTTCACCCCTTATGCTACATTTATGGCAGCTGTTTGCTCTTACACCCTGGAAGCTGACCTTCTTGTTGTGTTTTGACGTCCTGAGGGACAACATGATGCAGTAAATGTCAGGATAAAGGTGTTATGTTTCAGGAATCTGCTGAGGTCACAGGGAAAGGTTGGTACATTCTCAAAGTAGAAGAAATTCTCACTAGTGAATATGAATGGGCTGACCTCTGTTGCCTGTTGTGTTTCTGTTTCAGTGATTATGCAAGAATGCTGCCTGCAGATAGAAAGGTGACTCTAGTGCTTGAGAGAAGGAACTGAAAGGCCACTGCTTGGTTTTGGGTTATGATAATCATTCAGAAATAATTGAGTCCAAGTTTAGTAGCTCTCTCTGGAAAGGGGTCACGTGTTCTCTGTCACTAATGCAGATTATAACATGCAGTCCTGGAATTATATAGTAGTCTTCATTTTGATAAGGCTATTTTGATTATGCTGCTTTCCTCTTTTGAAAGACTTTGTCAGACACACAAGTCTGCCTACCAATGTTTATTATTAATACTAATTGAATTGCCTAAAAGCTGGGGTCTGCAAAATTTTTTTATAAAGAGTTGGGTAGGTAGTAAATGTCTTAGGCTTTTTGGGCCAAGAAAGTAAATCAAGAATATATATAGACACTTACACAAGACAGAAAAAAAAAATCCACAGTATTTTACTGATGAGTTAAAAATGCAATAATAATTAAGTATAATTTTTTATGATACACATCTACTGATGAAAATAATGGAAATATTCTTTGGGAGATAAGATTTCACTTAATTTGAGTTCAAAATTAGTCTTCTCCATCATCAAATCAATTATAAATGTTCATCTATAAACCATTCTTAGTTTATAAGCTGTACTAAAACAGACAATGGGGTTGATTTGGCCCCTGGGGCATAGTCTACCACCCCTACCTTAAAGTATATCTTAATTAGTAACATAAACACTTTTTCAAATTAATAAGCATAATATTAATATAATCATCTTTATATGCCACAATTTTTTAGATGTCCACATATAACAGATAAGTGGTTAAAAACATGCACTTTGGAGTCAGACCAATCTGGGTACAATGGTTGGCCTTATTCTTTTCTGACTGTGTGACTTCAGGAAAGTTATCTGACATCCCTCAGTTTTGATTTTCTCACCTGTAACCTATGATAATACTAGTATTTCTTCAAGGCCATTTTGAAGATTAATTGAGATAGTATTAATATGGTGCCTAACACATTGTGGGCAATAAATAATAGCTGTTAAATTTGTATGTGATGTCCAATAATTCATTGCAGATATATAAGACAGGGATTATTATTTACACCATTACTATTATACCTCATTGGGTAAATTGAGGCAGAGATCATGAAACTTATCTAATATCTATGAAGGCACTACAGCTAAAAGTCAGTTCTCTGTTCTCATTAACTCACTAGTTATTAAGTATGTACGTGTGTATATAGGAGGCAGAATTCTAAGATGGCCCTTGAGAAACCTGTCCCTTGTGTGCATACTCTCTGCTTGAGTGTGGACTTGGGTGAATTTGTGGATACCAAGGATAGTAACTGACTTGATTAGGCTACATCATATGGCAAAGGGGAAGGATAGTAATTTTCATGATGATGTTATGTTATATATGACTTCATAATAGATACTGGAGGGAGATTCCCTGCTGGTTTTGAGGAAATAAACAACCATCTTGTGAGAGAGCCAAGTAGACAGGACTTGAGGCCAGCCTCTAGAAGCTAAGAGCAACCCCAGCAGACATCCAGTAAGAAAACAAAGACAAAATTCTCACAACTGAAAAAAATTGAATTCTGCCAATAACCTGAATTAACTTGGAAGAGGACCCTAAGCTTCAAATAATGATGCAGCTCAGGCAACACCTTCATTTCTTATGAGAACTGAGCAGAGACCCAGCTAGGCTGTGTCTGAACTTCTGCCCTGCAGAAACTCTGAGATAATAAATGTATGTTTTATGAAGCAGCTAAATTTGTCGTAATTTACTACACAGCAAATAAAAATCTAATAAAATGTACCAGATAGGTGACTGAATGTTGAGAATAAAATAGTGAAGAAAATAGACTTGGTTCTTATCCTGTTGGATTTATGGTTTAGAGAACAAAGGGAACATTTTATTGTGTATGTTTCTATCATAGAAGTAGAAAGAAATTGTCATGGGAGAAGAAACAAGGTCATCTAACTGTTTGGGGTAAGCAGGAAAAGTTTTCTTGGGATAGTCTAGGAAGGGAAAATTTAGTAGGTTCAGCCAGGGGACTGGAGGGCCAGTGTGGGAGGAGGTGAAGGGAGTACTGCAGCCAGGGAAGTAGCAAGTATAAAGGGTCTGGGATGTGTGAGAGCACAGTGTATTCCAAGAATTCCAAAGCACTCACTGGCTAGAGGGAGTGTGGTGAGAGATGAGGCTGCAAGCAAGGGTGAGTTCGTGAAGGGCCTCAGATACCCATGTCATCGAGTTTAGACTTTCTGCTGGGGGTAATGGGGAGCCGGTGAATGACTCAAAGCAGAGGAGTGGCAGCTTCAGAGATGTCATCTTTGCACTCTGCATTAAATTGCAGGATCAAGTCAGAAAGACTTGTTCAGGGACAGAACCACAATCCAGAAGACAGATTATGGTAGCTGGACCTAGGACCATGACAAGTAGGGTGGAATAAAAGGGTTCATGGCCTCCTACATTTCTCCAATGTGGGTATTGAGTTGCCTTAGCTTCTGACATAACAGATGTGATGGTTTCTGAAGGCATAGCTGGGGATGTAAAAACTCATTCTCCCACCAAAACCTTTTTAAAAGTAGGTTATATGATCAGAATGTCTAGACTGTGGGAACAAAAGATTCAATAATTGTTTTCCTTATCACCTCCAATGAAAGAAAAAAATCTATGACTTTCTATTGGCTTGCAACAGTTATTGTTTTTGTCAAGAGAAAGTACTGTCAGAAGAGTGGTCACTCACAGCTGTTTATTGATCCTTTCAGGGACTGAGAAATGTTAATATGCTCTGACCTTTTTTAGCCTTATTGCATTCCTCTGGCATTTTGATGAAAAGCAATTAGCCACTTCTCTTCCTCTAGTAATAGCGGTTCCAAATTCAGAACAAGCTGCCTAATTAGAAGATCATAAGCCAGCATGGAAAAGCAAATGGTCACCTGACAAGCCAGAGTAAGATAAATGTTGGTGCTTTATGGAGAGGCTGCTGGACACCAGCTGAGAAGGGTCATTGAAAGAGAATTTAAAATTAATCCTGGCCTGCAAAATAGTACGGATGTCATAGTGAGTCTAGTCTTTGTTAATAATTCTGTAAATGCTGAAGAACACAAGCATTTGTTTATGGTAACAAAGGAGCTGGAAAAGCTCATACAGTAAATTGATTGATGAAAAATAATACCACGGATTTGATTATCCTGTCATTGAGAGAGATGTGGGACGGATTCCATTAGTTTTGGTTTCACGGAAGGTACAATACAGACGCTTATTCTTATGCCCTAAAAAGGATTTAGAGTGATTCTCTACAGTCCTGAATAGGAGAATTGTTGCAGCCTTGAGCTTCTTGTACAGCTATTTTGGTAAATGACAGAGGCAAAGCCTCCAACAAGCGTATCTAAAATAGGAGGTGGTTTGACAGCCAAGGGAGGCTTTGATCATGTGATAAAGGAGTCAATGGGAAGAAATCTCTAAGGTTAGAGAGCTATAGTTCTATCAATTATGTTGCTCTATAAATCAGGAGAATTGGGGAAAGAGCGAGAGGTTGCCTTTCAGCTTCCTGCCAGATGGATTTCTAGGAGAAAACTTCAGCTGCGTTCCAGAACTCTGTCTGTGTCACAGACGAACTCTCAGCTTAAGTATGTTAATAGCGGTAGCAGTAATACGGAAGTACTGACATGTTTCCTTGATCTTCTACATAAAACAATCTGTGGTGGAGGGCTGTTTCCGATGCAGACAGAACAAAGCAAGTAAGGATACTGAGTTAGAAACCCTCTCCTTTTAAAGTCAGTTTGAAACCCATGGCCTAACTTTCAAATGTGTTTTGTTGAACACTCCTCACATTGGTGTTACCCTCTGATGAAAGTTGACTGTGATGGACCTGAAATTCTAGAAGCATGGTCTTTCTCACAGCAGCCTATCTCCCTAGCTAATTCTCTATGGTTATTTTATTACTGAAATGAAAAACTCAGCCAGGAGTTGGTAAAGTATCCTTTTAGTAAACCCAGGAAAAGTGGAGGCACAGAAGCCTCTTTTTCTCACTCTTCCTGGATGGGTGGATTCATCAAGCTCCTGCTTCAAAGTCTGGGAAATCTCTCGGGAATGATTCCTTTTATGAGATTTCCAACATCCAGATTGATCTAGGTAAACACCTATGAGCATTTCCAATAGGGAATGCTAAACTTCTCTAAGACACGCTCCTGGTTTTCTGAGATGGAGCACATTTCCTCTGATACATGACTGCCACTAGCTTCACTCATATCATCAGGGGAGAGTAGGAAGGAATCCATTCTAAGATGTAGTAAAAAATATTTACTCCCTGATCTTTATGATCTTTATAAATGTTAAACTTCCACACCCACCCTATCCCCAGCCCTTGCCCTATTTTTCTTTATTAGGTTTAAATAGGTGTCATGTAAAGTAAATAAACTGGTGGTAGGATTCAAATAAAGGACCAAATCTAACGTGCTTTCATCTGTGCCCAACTAACCACAGGATGAAATATTACCTGACATCTCAGTGGGCATATTATGAAATCCAATCTTAAATTGCTATTCTATACTGCTTTCCTAGAACTATCCATAATTAGATATCTTTAATAAATAGAAGAAGGAGATTAAAGGTATGAGGCTTTTGGGTTGGTTAGAAATGCATTTGATTGGAAGCTACAGAAAACCCAACCATGGTGGCTTACGGAAATACGTTTTCATTTTTTCCCCATGATGTATGTCCAGATGCAGGCAATGGCTGGCCTTGATTCAGTCAATATCAAGACCAACATCTTTGTGATTCTCTTGACCTTTCCTCATCTCAGAAGATGATTGCTTCTATTAATTTGCTATCATAACAAAATGTCACAGACTGGGTGGTTTAAGCAACATAAATTTATTTTCTCATAATTATGGAGGCCAGAAGTCTAAAATCAAGGTGTCAACAAGGGATGGTTTCTTATAAAGTCTCTTTCTTTGGCTTGCAGATGGCTGTATTCTTCCAGTGTACTCACATGGTCTTCTCTCTGTGTGAGTCTGTGTCCTAATCTCTCCTTTTTATAAGGACACCAATCATATTTATTAGAGCCCACCCTAATGGTCTCATTTTATTTTAATTATCTCTTTAAGGAACTTGTGTCCAAATAGAGTATATTTTGAGATACTGCGGGTTAGGACTTCAACACAGGAATTTTGGGGGGATGTAACTCAACCCACAACATTGCTGAAGCTTAAGCCAACATCACCATTCAAGGATGGAAGAAGGGAACATAGCAGTGAGTCTTCCCTGTGAAAAGCCCTGCCTACCAGCAGGCTCATTGACCAGAAGGAGAACACATGAACTTCCTTAGATACAGAGCAGGTAGGAGGGCAGGAAATGGGCTTGTGATTACTTTAGCTCAACCACTATTCATTGCCTGTGGTGGTTAAGCACTTTGTTTATTTGAACAAAATCTAACTTTTTTAGCAAACAAGAAGGGGTAAGGATGCATGTTGCATATATAAGTTAGAAACTTTGCTTCAGAGATAAAAAGGAAACTGAGAGATGAAGAAGCAGGAAAGGTTCTACTTTATGAACTTGTTTAATTTCAGCCAAGTTCAAGATCAAGAAAGCAGTTAGGGCCAGTACTAGACACCACTGTAAAGAGTCGCTGGTTTTTCCGCTGTTTCCCTTTCCTCTCCATGTTTTCACCCCTCCCCAGACCTTACCAGGTGCTCTGTGTCAGAAGATTTTCTGCACATCCTTTGGTCAAAGCTTGCTCTGAGAAGAGTATCTTCTATCAGTCTGGACTCCCTGTGGTATTCAGTGTGAATAAATTTAATTCATTGAAATTCCTTTCTGAAGGATATTTCTGTTTTAAGCTTTACTTTATAATGAAAGGCTTTGCTCACAATTCAAGGGATTTCAGGCACTGGTGCACAAATGAGGGAGCTTTAGGACCAGAACAGCCATTTTCGTGCCCTAGAAATCATACTGATTTTGTGGCTGACCTTATAGATGGCTACTTATAGATTTCTAGTCTACTATAGATCTATAGTCAAGCCTGGCATTGACTATTGGCTTGAACTAGGACAGCCCTAGAATATGAAATCTAGATTGACTCATGTTAGCTTTATATTTCTGTGTGTAACAAATTACCATGAATTTAGCAACTTGAAGCAAACTCCTTTTATTACCTCACAGTTCAGTAAATAAGAAGTGTGTGATGGGCTTGCCTGGATTCTCTACTCCAGGTCTCACGAGGCTGAAATTAAGATGTTGGCCAGGTTGTGCTCTTACATGGAGGCTGTAGGAAAGAATCTACTTCCAAGTTCTCTGGATATGGGCAGAGTTCATTTCCTTGGCTGTAGGACCAAGGTCCACATTTCTTTGCTGGCTGTTGCCCAGAAATTGCTCCCAGATCTGAGATGCCACTCCCTGATCCTCATCAAGTGCCCCTTTCCATCTTCAAGCCAGTTTTGAATCTCCATTGTCCTTCAATCTCTGACTTCCTCTTCTGCTACCAGCCAGAGAAAATTCTCTTACTTTTAAAGGGATCATGTGATTTAATATGATTAAATTTTAATAATAAAAATAAAGCATATGCATTATTAAAAAATATTAAATAATACAGAAGAGTTCACAATAGAAACCTTTGTTTTTTTTCCCTAGTATCGCACTTTTGGTCCAAAGAAAGATTAAATTTTAACCCTTTTAATTTTATCTGTCCTAAATTCTTCTGGTAATAACCCCCACATCTCTAAATTATGTTTTACTGAGAACATTAATTAATCAATTTTAGATATTATGTAATGTTCTCCTGCTATGGCAAATGGGAATTTGGCATATTCATATGATTGCCAACGTCCTTCTCCTCAATTGGTTGTTTACCACTTTTAAGGATATATCATGTTCTTTTATCACTTTCTATAGCATATGCAAAACCTTATTTCTAGTTCCATCAAATGTAAACAATTTATCCTGGAGCTTCCCTATTAGACTTCCCCTTTCTTCTCCTTCCTTCTCCTAGTCTATCTGCATACACATTGGCCTCTTCATTTTACCTCTTTATTATCAAGACACATAGTATATGTGTTCTGTTCTATCATTAATTTAATCTTCCTATTTTAAGACCAACTAATTAACCTGAATTATACCTGAAAAATCCCTTTTGCTGTGTAATAGAACATAATCAGAGGAGTAACACCAAGGGTCAGAGTTTACGGGGAAAATCTTAGCATTCTGCTCACTACAGTCATCCCTGGCTGTGGAAATGTCCATGAAGAATTTGTCTGTCTTATTTATTGTTTTGGGATTTCGGTAAGTAATAAGCCAGGAGAGGTTAAAAACAAATCAAAACAAAACAAAACAAAACAAACACTATACACAGATTGGGCCAATTCAGTGGGTTAGTTCAGGGATGAGTTTTTTTGACATAGTCAAGTCATGTGAAAGAGGACAGAAAGGAGTTAAAAGAGAACTTTAAGCTCTATGGAAATAGAAATGGAACTATGTTTGTTTTGTTTGTTTTCATATCTCCAATATGTAATCTAGTAAGATTATAGAGTGAGAACTCAGTGTTTGTTAAATTAATGGATGATTAGACTGTGTGCTAGTCAACTTTTGTTTAAAAAACATCCTCCCCATCTTATTCACTTATAATAACAATTTATTTCTAATTTTTATATTTTCTTGATTTTTGTATTTTCTTTTCTATTTTCTTTTCCTAATGGATCTTGGTTAGAGAGACCAAGTCAATATACTCAATTGTACTAAAGCCTCTTAGAGATGGACATAGTTACCTTCAAATCACATGGTCAATCCCATATCAATGGGATGGGAGAGTGGTTCATCTATAGAAATGTACTACAACCTCATATGACAAAGGATATGGATGTAGAATCCTAATTCAGGGAAAGAACAGCATAGTTGGGAACAATGATACAATCTACCACAGACTATCTTTCTATAATTTATTGTCTAATACTTGTCCCTGCTTCTGTGTTAGCAGCCTCTTTAAAGTTTGGTACCAAAGGGAGAATATTTAAGAGAGGAAGGTAGCTGGTTGAAGTGTTCTTACTCTACCACTCTGAGCTCCCTCTGCCTCTGGGTTGTCTTACGCTTCTTTGTGGATAAGCATAGTATGCACCAGGCAAAGTTTAAGGAGGGCATTTGAATGACCCATTTGGCCAGCCTCACTGCAGCTCCTAGAGGCCCTCCATCCTAGGGTTTGGTTTTAAGAAAAGTATTTATTTTCCGTATTTCCTAGAGACACCCACATACTTACCTTGAAATTTTACCCTTGAAGATCTGATTTCTCACTGTTTATTTTTTATTTTTATTTTTATTTTTTTGAGACAGAGTCTCGCTTTGTTGCCCAGGCTAGAGTGAGTGCCATGGCATCAGCATAGCTTACAGCAACCTCAAACTCCTGGGCTCAAGCAATCCTCCTGCCTCAGCCTCCTGAGTAGCTGGGACTACAGGCATGCACCACCATGCCCGGCTAATTTTTTCTATATATATTAGTTGGCCAATTAGTTTCTTTCTATTTATAGTAGAGATGGGGTCTCACTCTTGCTCAGGCTGGTCTCAGAACTCCTGACCTTGAGTGATCCACCCGCCTCTGCCTCCCAGAATGCTAGGATTACAGGTGTGAGCCACCACACCCGGCCAGATTTCTCATTGTTTAAAAGTACTTCACACATAACCTGGTTGGAATAATGACATTAATTTTACCTCAAAGATTATAAGTATTGTTTTGTAAAGAAAACATACATGTAACCCAATTTATCTTTCTTTAAAGAAGTATATATCTTTCTCCTTCTTGCATTCAGGCAACATTAGTCTTAAATTATAGCAACATATAGTGAAAAAATATTGTTCTCTTACTTTTAATGCATGTTCATTTCTCAAGCTTAGAAGAAAAGTTGTTGTGGAAATAACATTTTAGTCAATAGATTACTAACATATTATATGCCTTGCACCTTGGGTAATGTGATATATAGAAAATTACTTAGCTATTTGTCTTCAGTAGAAGCCCAATGAATAATGAGAATTGGTAATTCATCTTATTTTCAAGGATATTCAATACTATCTGTGTCCTTGGGGCCACTTTCGCAAATGTTACACTTTACTATTTTCTGATCCAAAGCGACAGGAGGCTTTTTTTTTTTTTTTAGTTCTAAGATTTAAAAGAGGATTGAGGCTTGTCTGAGCTATGCATCCATAAAGACAGGCAGAAACATAACCATTTGTTTGTGTTTCATTTCAAACGTGACAGTCAGAACAATAGCTGCCTTTTCCATCCATGTGAAGTTTTCAAAACACACGGGACAGAGGCAGTCACTCTATTATCAAATAAAATGCCGAATGAGTGCCAGCTTCACATCTTGCCATTATTCTTAGTCCTTGGTCCTGATGAACCACCTGCTGCCATAAAGAGAAAAGTAAGAATTCTCACCATCCTCCTATTTCTTTGAGGGGCATGGTTAGGTTTTTCTGTTAACAGGTAAATAATACTATAAGATTTTTCAAGTCCTTGCTAAATAAATAAACAAAAAGTAATGGAGTAAATGGAGACACTCATATGGAAGGGTATCAGAACGGTCACCAAGTGTGTGCTTCTCCTGACCATCAAACCTGTCCTGATGGTATCACAGTTACCTCCAAAATGAAAGAAAATAGTCTCTTGATGGTTCCTCTTCTGAGGGTTTTTTGTTTTTTTTGCCTTTAAGGTTTATTATAGTTAATGTGACTTTTTCTATTCTTAAAAAGATTGAAAATGAAAGGTAAAGAGAAACTGAATTATGTAGTGAGATTGTCTGGAAGAAACTGGCTAACTGTTTACTAAACCTTACTCTGATTCTTTCTAAGCACACGAATCACATTTTCCAGCCTTCCTTACAATTAGGTATGGATCCTGAGTTCCAGAAGATAAAATATGAGCAGAAATAAAGTGATCCACTTTCCAGGAATGTACCATAAAGCCCTGCCATTAGTGACCCTCCACTAGGTGGATGAAGATAAGCATGGCAATCTTGGCAACTATGTGGTAAAGGCGGTGGAGTTACAAGGCAGAAGGAGTCTGAGTACCTGAATCACTACCTGGACAAGTGTCCTCTGCCGATCAATAACTCCTATTTTGGACTTTGAAAAAAGAATAAACTTTTGTTATGTTTGATATAATGAACCATTATGTGTTTTGGGCTTTGTCATTGCATCTAGTGTTTATTTAACTAAGGCATATATAATTTTATTGTGCCCCCAAATTGTAGGATAGGGTAAAAATATGATCCATTACATGAAATCCAGGAAAAGTGTAAGAATTATTGTCCTTGATGAATTTTGAGACACAGGAAACATTTGATATGTGCAGTCCTTATAGAATATGATGAAGGAAATGGGAGATAAGAAGAGTTTGGGATTATCATCAAGTGCTTAAGTACTTAAATCTGAACTCTAATCAGAGGACATTGGGGATTATTCATTGTTGCCCACTGAGGTTTAGAGATTCTTAGTCAGTGAAGGCGCTGAAGCCTTGAGATGACTACAGTCCTGACCAACCTTGATTCTGGAAGGTATTTTGCTAAGCTGTGTACAGATTCCTGACCCACAAAAAGTGTGAGATAACATATATTGTTGGTTTAAGCCACTAACTTTGGGGTAATTTGTTACATAGCAATAGGAAACTACTACCACAGCTGAGTGTATATACCTTACCATCCAAAAGTTTCACTCATAACCATCAGAAGTGCATGCATATATGTTCACAAGATATGTCCAGGCATTTTCAAGCATCAGGGCTATTTATAGTAATAGCCCATACTGGAAACTTTCCAAGTGTCCATTGCATTAAATGTCTACCAAATGTAATGAGTAAATAAATTGTGGTATATTTATAAAATGGAAAAATATATAGCACTGAGAATGATCCTCACATAAATAAATATAACAACACAGATACCTTGCACAAAAAAGCTGCACAAAAAAGAGAACCTACTGTGTCACTTAATTTATATAAAGTGTTATGTTTTCTAATCAGTATAATGTCAATATAATGGTTGCCCTCTGGGGGGATGAAGACAGGAGCTTTAGGCGGCATTGCATTACAGTTAATATTCTGTTTCTTGAAATGAACACCATTCATTAGTGTCTTCTTTTTATAAAAATTCATCCAGTGATACACTTTGATATATTTACATTTCCACATATGTATTACATATTAATTGAATGTTTTTTAAAAGTTTAAAACGTGTGTGTTTCTGTGATAGGAATTTATGTTCATGATATTGTTGAGAAAATATATAAAGATGCATGTAATTTTTTATGTTAGTGGTGTGTGTTGTTTCAGAAGTTTGGAGACATCTACCTGTCCACTAAAGTGATTGGTTTAATAAATTGTGGGGCATTCCTCACATGGCTTGCTATAAAGCTATTAGGATAAATATGAGGATCTGTGTTTACTAATATAGAAAAATGTTCACAACATATTTCTCAATGAGAATAATAGATGATAAAACATACATGCAAGGCACTGGCAGAACCACAGTGGGTTAGGCAAATAGAAAAATAATTACTGAGACACTAATAATTATTTACTTGGGTGGTATCTTCATGGCTGACTTTTTCCTTTTTAAGTATATGCATTTTTAATATATCAACGGGATGAGCTTGGTTTGATTTGATGTTTTATATTAATTTGATTTTAATATCTTAGAAAGCAGGAGTCATGCTTTTTATTCGACAGCTCATTCCACACACTCAACTCATTTAACATAGACCTTGTACAAAGTCAGAACTCAATACATATTCACTCACAGCCTGACTGAATTTAAAAAAGCAATAATAAGAGATAATCTGTCATTCTCATTCATCTATTTTAATATATGTCTTAGGGAAGGGCATTTCTGTGTTCTAACAAGTTGTATAAATAAAGACAATGACTAAAATGGTGTGCATTTGTGTGTATGGTTTGTGGTGGAAAGTTACATGTTATAACCTTGTTTAAAAGCATTTTGGACATTAAATGAGAGGGAGAGGTGTGATTGAGAAGGGACAATAAAGGTAATGCCTCCAGTTGGTTTACAGTCTGTGGACATTTTTTTAATCTATTGAACAATGTTTTAATTTGATTAGACATTTATCTGATGTGTAGGCTCCTTGTCTTATTTTGTGAAGGTCACATAAATCCTAGCTCATCTACACTGAGGAAACAACCTGCCAGGGCCTTCACAGCCCAAGCAGGTGGCTGGTGACAGGATGCCTAGTGATCTGAAGCCTAAGATTGCAGTTGGTTGCTGATTCTGCATGCAAGGCTCAAGTTCTGAATTTCATATTTCCTCTCTGGGAATGACTTTACAAAAATAAGGAACGCTGGAAAAAAATCCACATGGTTTTAAGCAATTCTTTGTTTTTCCTGCTTGCTTTTTTTTCTTTTTGACTTTCTTTTAAGTGTGTGCATGTGTGTGATGGTATGTCCTAGACTACCTGTCCGCAGTTCTTATTTATCATTTTGTTGCAAAACAACATTGGCAACTGTCCACTTAAATGTAGTAACACCAACTCAGCTGTCTCAGTAGAAAAAACATATTTGCAAATACCAAAATGTAAGAGATGAAGGAGGTTTAGGAGGAAGAAGAGAACAGTAAGAGAGCATTTAAAAATTTTTTTGTGATGTATAAGAACCAGGACTGTATATTACAAAACTAGCAGTTTGATATTTTATTCAAATTAACCTATATAATATAAGACGAAGTGATGTTTTTGGCATAGGAACTATATGGATTTTATTGAACAACAAAATATAGAAATGAAAAGACACAGTAGGTGAATAATTACTATCTAGATTAGATTATCAAAGCCTTTACTTTCTCTTCTTCTTTCTTAGTCTTTTGGGCATTTATCAAATAACTACATGAATTCCGCCAAAACTTTTTAAAAATTGAAGCTCAAATGGGCTCCATTTATCTGCTAGCTTGGATCTATTTTAGAAAGTTAAGTGAGGGATATCTCAAAGCTGTTGACTTAATTGGGGAATTATCCATAGATCTGTAATTTAGGTTATTTTTTATTTTTATTTTTTTGCTATTCACAGTCCCATTTAGAATAGATGTAGTTTTAAAATCATTATATGAAGAAGGTGATCACATCATTTACCATTATTTAGTTCCAACTATATAGCTCAGTAAATAAAAAAGAAAAAGGGAGGTGTAGATTTGGCCTAATGAAAGAGAGTCTTAGAAAAATAGTAAGTGATATGGAGGTATATTTGTTGAGTGCAATAGTGGCTGCATTTGGCAGTTTAGTTTAGTTTCACCTCCAAGTTTAGGTGAGGGGTGTTGCTAGGCTTTAATGCTAGGGCAGAGCATATTCAAATGGGTACACTTGCATAGCTCTGCAGTATGTGCTGGGGAGTATTCTGAGTGGCTTATAAATCTCTATGTTTCAGAAAACAACCAACCCACAAGATATATAAGGAGCACTATATCTTCTTGGGGAGCAGAACTTTGGTACAAAGATCCAGGTACAGGGGCAGTTCAAGTGACAGGTCTTCGGCTACCAATTACAAACCTATCGTTTAGGAATAGGACCAAAATGGCCCTGGTGGTACTGACATTATGTAATGTGATGTGACAGGTGAAAGATAAGGTGCTGAGTTACAAGTAGTTAAGATCTTATCTTATCTTCTCTATCTTCTCTATCTCCATATTATATGTTTTCTTGGACAAAAGAAATTCTTAATCACTGGGCCAACTTTCTGGACTTCTTTCAAGACACACAATATCTTTGTCCTAAGAAACAAAGAAGAGAAACTAGGAAGGTTAAATTGATCTACAAAATAAGAAGCTGAGACAGGAGAAAAGGAAAGAGGTGAAGTAAATATCTTTAAAGATTAAGTCTAAGAGAGAGGTTAGGATAACAGTTTAAAGAATGTTGGAATCAAAGAGGGAATTTGGGACAGTCATGTTCATAAGAGCTGCTGAAAATCAAAGAGCAATAGAAGAATATTTCAGATGTTTAGGGATTAAAGGAGTAATTAGATGCTTTTGAAACTTCAAGTGAGGAGATTATTGGGACAAAAATGTATGGAAACTAAAGAAGAAGAGAGTTCAACAAATAACAAGTAGGCCAACAGTTTATACCACTTAAAGCAATGAAACATCTGGAATTAGCTTAAAACAAACAAACAAACATGGAATATTCAACATAACAGGGAAAGGTTTAAGGTTTGGATTAGGATTAGAGTTAGGAAAACAAGAAAAAACAGGGAAAGAAACATGAAAATGTAGTTTTGAGTTTTACATCTGTCCTTACCATCATGTGAAATTAAGGTAATTAACTCTGGGACCACAATTTTCTCACTATTTAAGTAGAATAATTGCAGTAACGTAGGAAAGCAAGCATACTAGCACAGTGCCTTGTACATATTAGTTTAAACAAAAAGAGGAAAAAGAAAAAAGCTGGGAGCCTGCTTGTACTTAAGAATTTTGAGATAATCCACCAAATACTCTTTTATAGAATTGTAGACTTTGATTTTGTTCCACCCAGAAAAAAATAGCTTTTATTATGTGCACCTAATATATAATTGTTAAGCATCCCAAGAAGTTTTTAACATCAAGATTCTTATGAAATGCTGTATGGTAATTGTCAAAACACAATAATCTTTACAACACAGCAGAGCCAACCACTAAAAGGACAAGATCGTTATTAACTGTAGTTTTGCAAATATAAGACAAATTACGTGATTCTTTAAACAAATATTTTTGGTCCTATTTCTAGTTCATGTACTTATTTTTACCCATATTCTAAGTTAATTTGTGACTTTAAGTTTCAGAATTCTTAATTTTAGGAGTCATAAATGATAGTCTTGAACCATATTTTAATGCATGAGAAAGAGATGACAAAAGCCAGTTGGCAGAACTCTCAGCTTGAATGTAAACTCCGTAAGGTCAGGAATGTTTTTTACTTTTCTCTTCCAATCTATTTTTAGTGCCTCAAAGAGGATTTAGCCACAAATGGACACCTGATAAATATTTGTTAAGAGAATTAATGAATAAATGGGTTAGTTGTAAAATTGCCATGGTTTTTGATTAAATGGATTATCTTGTAGTTAATCCATATTTTTCAAAATTTAGCTCTTTATAGAGTAGCACTATTATGCAGAAATGCTGTGTGAGCCATGTATGTAGT